AGCCCAGGCCTCATCCTGTACAAGCACCTATGGCCTCATCTGGTACAGGATTCCCTGTCCAGATGCTGGGCTACGCTATTGACTGATGGTACAGAGCTCTCTGTTCTCATGCTATATAGGAACACCTGTCCTCATGCTGTGTGTGATCCACTGCCCTGATCCTCTACAGGAAGCCTTTCCCTACCACTGTACAGGAACCTCTGATCTACTCTCTGTAGAAACTTTTTCCTGAACCTCAACATAAATCCTTTACTTTCCTCACTTACAGGAATCACTGATCTGATCCTTTATAGGAAACCCTACCCTTAATCTCTGGAAACACTATTCCTGACTCTGAACAGGAAGCCCTTATATGACTTTCTATAACAATTCTTGCCCAGACCTTCTCCCAGAAGGTTCACCCTATAGAGGAACCATTGTATGACCCAACAGAAAAAACACTAACTTGATTCTCTGAACGAAACAGTGTCCTAACTCTGAACAGGATCCTTGTTCTGACCTTGCAAAGGACTACTCTCCATGATTCTCAGCAGAAAGCTGTGTCTTGAGTCGGTAGAAAACACCTCATTCTTACACTCAACAGGAAGCTTTCATCCGGATCATTACAGGAATCTAAGAAATAAACCAGCACAAAACACCTACACTGTATGTTGTTGTTGTTGTTATGTGCCGTCGAGTCAGCCCCGACTCATAGCGACCCCTCCTTGGGTTTCCAAGGCAGTATCACTACAGAAGTAGGATTGCCCAACCTTCCTTCTGAGGAGTGGCTGGTGGGTTTGAACCGCCAGCCTTCTGGTTAACAGTCAAGTGCTTTTGCCACTATGCTACCAGAGCTCCTCTACACTGTATAGGACCTTGTTAAGCAAGCCATAATCTGAATCACCATGAACACCTGTCCCGAAACTGTACAAAACCCCTGACCTAACTCTCTGGGACCCTAGCTCTGATCCTGTACAGAAATATCTGTCCTGAGTATGTTATGATCACCTGGTCTGTCTACAGAAAACCACTTTCTTGGCCTCTAAAGGACAACCTAACCTTAACTGGTATAGGAAAAATTGCATTAACACCCTTCTCCCTTGCTCTACAATGTCTCCAACCTCTTATTTTCCTACAAATCTGCCTTACCATGTAACACAATCATTCTCTGGACCCCAGGCAGGAAACAATAACTTGAGCCCTACGTAGTACAATTCTCTGTAGCAGCACTGCCCAATAGAAATATAATGTGAGTCACATGTGTAATTTAGAATTTTCATGCAGCCACATTTTTAAAAAATGTTAAAAGAACAGTGAAATGAACTTTAATAATATATTTACTTTAATATATCCAACCATTACCATTATATATCCAAACATTATCATTTCAACATGTAATCAAAATAAAAAATATTTTAAATTGTTCATACTAAGTTTTCAAAATCCAGTGTGTATTTTACACTTTCATCACATCTCAATTTGGAGTAGCCACATTTCAAGTGATCACTAGCCACTTGGCTGACACTGGACAGCATAGTTTTATGGAGTCTGTAGAATCCTGTAGTAGACACTGCTATGCACTCATCAAAACCTGTTCATTATCTCTGACCTTACTCTATCTTTTCCAAACCCCTATGCAGTTAGATGTGGACATATGACAGAATTCTAACCAACAAAGTATGAGCAGAAATGTTATGCACCACTTCTAAGCCCAGCCCACAAAAACCTTCCTCACAATCCTCCACTCTCTTTGTTTCCCCATCTACCAGCTGATTAGCAAGAACTCTGAGGAGGTAAAGGAGAGCAAAGTCACAAATTGGAAATTTCCCTGGCCTATGAATGATCTGTAATAAATATGTAGATTGGATTTTGTGCAAGTAAGAAATAAACATTTATTTGTTAAGCCCCTGAGATTCTAGGTTTGTCTGTTATAGCAGATAGCATAATTTATCCTAATTAATAGCAATTTCTTGACCTGAATCTGGACATGAACACCTAATCTTACTGTCTATATGAACACAAGCTCTGAACCTATATGGAACTACCCATCCTGACCCTTTACTGGACCTCCTTATCTCTTTGTAAAAACCCCTTATAATGCAGTCTAAAAAGCCCCATCCTGAACTTGTACAGGAACCTCTAGTCTACAGCTCTTTAGGGATGCTTGTCTTATTTATTTTGTACAGAATCCTCTGCTTGATCCAGTAGAGGAACATCACTACTAAAACTAGATAGGAACCTCTGTGCTCTCCCTGTCCAGGAACGTTTGTTAGACTCAGTAGAGGAACACCTGAAGTGACCTGGCCCTGTCAAGGCCTCACATCTCACACAAAAAGAATCTTTCTCCTCATGCTACATGGAACCCCTGCCCTCATCCTATAAAAGAATCCCAGAAAACCAAGGACTGGCACTCTACAGCAGAGACTGGCAACTAGAGACTGCAGGCAATGCCAGCTTGTAACCTGTTTTTATATTTTTAAAGGGCTATTTAAAAAAGAAAAGAAAAATATGCCACAGAGACCTTATGTGGCCTACAAAAGCCTGAACTCTGATCCTTTATAGAAAAAGTTAGCCAACCTTGGCTCTACATTAACCTCTCCCCTGACTATGCAGAAAATTGGGCCTTGACTCTTTCCAAGACTCCCTACTCTTATTTTGCAAGCATTACAACCCCAGAATGTTTCCCAGTGTGTATTATTATATGTATGTTTTCTTTGAGGGAGCTCTGGTGGCATAGTGCCTAAGGCACTTGACTGCTAACCAGAAGGTTGGTGGTTCAA